CCACCACCTCCACCACTAATGTCGCTCCCTTTCCTCGACCACAAAAAAATAATTCATGATTTTTACTAACAAAAAAAAATAGGCCGTAGAAAAATATTTTTCATTGACCACAGAAAATAAACTTTTATTTTAGTGGAAAATATTTTTCATTAAAATATTACCCCTACTTCTACGAAATAAAAAATAATAATAATATTTTTTTAATTAAAATAAAAATGAAACAAATAAATTTTCAATCTTAGTAACTAAAGAAAAATGAAATTTTTTTCATTAACTATAAAAAAAATTATTTTAACAAAAAATAAATTTTTTTTAACGACAGCAACCCGCGTCACAAAAAAAAAGGGAGAGTTAAACGGTATTATTTTATTGTTTAAATTTTATTTGTGACCCCAAAAAAAAAGATTTTAATTTTTTTTTATCTACCCCCCGTCTCCCTCTCTTTTTTTTTTTCATTCCCGCTTATTTTTTTGCCATCCCCCTACCCCTCGGGCGCAAAACCAAAATCCCTAATCTCAACATCACTGTCTCTCTTACTCTCTCGTTTCTGCACCGATCACCCTCTCACTCTCTCGCTATTCATCTCATCGCACCGATCATCATCGCACATCCGATCCACTCACAGGTAAACTCTCTCTCTCAATCTTTGTCTCTCTCTCTCTCCCGATCGTTGATTTTTGTAATAACCCTCACCACTGCTTACCGAATGAACACTGATTACCATTGAACTGAACTGATTATGACTGATAATTGAACTGATTAAAGTACTGAACTGACTGATAGAAAATTGGAACTGAATTGACTAAGTATGTATGTTAATTTGCATTCTATCTGTTTGATTGATTGTTTGATCTGTTCACGTTTTATGTTTAAACTGCTAATTGAAGGCCTTATCGGCGGCTGAACCAAAAATTGATTAGCGTTATGTGCTAATTAGAATTTATGAGATTTTATGGTATATTTACTTGAAATGTGATTCGGTATGATTAAATTAGATTAAATAGTTTATGATCCTCATAATTAATGTGAATTTATGGTGTATTTACCTGAAAACTGATTAGGTATGATTAAATTAGATTAAATATTGATGGATTGCAAGTTTTGGACTTAATTACCATTAAGCCATCTAGTGGGCCACTACCTGGGCATATTGAGCTACACCACACTTGAATCAAAACATTTCCTCAGCCTTGTTTGAGTACTCAGCCGAATTTAGAGAGAGAGGGAGTGAGAGACTTGAGTTCACTTGTAGAATTGCTTGGAGAATTGAAGTGTAGGTTGCTTAATTGAACTCCTAGTCTTGCATTGGAGACCTAAGGTAGAGTAATTACGTTGCCATTGAGCTAGTTCTTGCATGATTCATGCTTCATTGTAGAACTAAGTCATGTTTTGGTTCATTGTTGTTTAATTGAAGCTCAATCCTTGCATGCATGGTTGTATTGTAGATGTTGAGTTGTTTTCATGGCAAATTGTCACATGCATGTCCATGTTTTCATCTTGTTTGTGAATCAATTGGCTCATTAGAGCATTTTTTGAAGCTTGAAAGTTATTTAAAGATCATGCATGTCATGTTTGAGGATTATTCTTGAAAAATGGTTTGAAATTGGATTTGAATTAAACACTGTTGGGCTTTGATTTCTTAAAATTGAGCTTTGAACCATGTTATTCTATGTGTTTACAAATGTTTTCTGGAAATTAAGCCCAAGAGGTCGAGTTTTGAGTTGTTAAAACTTGGTTTGAGCTTGGAGGTGCAATCTGGGTTTTCCAGATTCTGCACTTCCGCTCGAGCGGGGGCTAGTGACGCTCGAGCGGGGAATCCGAGCATCCAGTATCTTTGCACTGTTTTACAGTCCGCTCGAGCGGAGTTTTGGGCGCTCGAGCGGGGTCATGTGTCTCCAGCTCGAGCGGGAGTCGAGCATCCGTCGAGCGGAGATTTCACCAATCCAGTACTTTTACAGTACGCTCGAGTGGGATATTTGACGCTCGAGCGTGTACCTTCGTTGCATGACCGCTCGAGCGGGGAAACCTGAGCTCGAGCGGGACTCTGTTTTTCTGAAAACTCCTGAAACTTTTTTCTGATCACATCTTTGCATCCTCATCTCATCCTAGGCATTCTTAGGCCTAGTTTAAGACATCTTATTGAGGATATAGATGTAGAACACACCGAGGCAAATTAGGGATTAAGTTATTATCTTTCCCAGCTGTGTAGCTTAGTGTGTTCAATCTGTTAACTGTGTAGGGTTGGCGACTGGGGAGACACGCTCTAGCATACTGTAGCCCAAACGCTGTGAGTAACGATTGTGTAAAGATATGTTCAAAAATGATTATTTTCTGAACAACTGGACTGCACTGTTTCTGAATTGAATATTGTTAATAGAATGAATGTATGTCCTATATTCTGAACTGTATTGTGGCATCCTTAGCACCTACTGTTTACTGTTACTGTTACAGAGATCTCTGTCGGTTCCCTCGTTGGAACCACTACTGTTTACTGACTGATGGCCTTCATTTACTGCTCGGTCTTTTAAGACTTACTGTTTACTGTATTGTTATGCTAATGGATGTACCACATATGACTGTACTGACTGAACGACTGAACTACTGATTTAATGAACTGTTTTCATTACTGTAAGGACATTCATTCTTAACCTCTTTACGCATTATGTTATTCACTGGGATTTAGCTCACTGCTCATATATATATGTAGGTGTACAGGCACCAGACCGCGGCTAGGAGCGTCAGGGTCACTCCAGTTTTGTCCAGCCAACTACCGTGCCTCACTGCGAGGTTCCAAGCCTATCATGCTAAGGCTTAGGGGTGTTTAGGATTCCCCCATCTGTACCGTCTTACTGTTTTGTAATAACCGAATGGATTGTATAGACTGAATGTTTACTGCA